AAACAACTCACCTACAACCCAAAATAGCAAACACAAACAAAACAAAACTAAAGAACAAAACACTCCCCCCCAAAAACAACAACAACAACAACCACCAAGAACCCAACAATTAAAAAAATAAAATAAAATAAAACAAAAAAACCCCCAACAAATCAACAAAAAACCAACAACCCCTAATTAAAAAACAACAACAAACCCGAATAAAATTAATGAAATGAGATTAAAATGAAAACAAATGAATCAGGAAATACATACCCGTCCAGAGGAATATCACAGCTATCTTTCTCCATAATTGTAAAGTTTCCATTGTAGTCGAAAGTCTATAACATCAATCCTGTATAAAGACGAAAGAAGGAAATCAGCCTCCTGTGTCACAAATTAAATGGTCATTTTTAAGCACAAGGGGGCTATCTAGGAAAATGCAGTTTTGAGAAAATCAAAGGTAAAGTTTTTGGACCCTTGTTCAGTTCCTTTAAAATACAAGGAGAGTTTTGTCTATAACCAAACAAATATAAACACCAATTAAACCAAACTTCTCCTATAGGTAGGGCAATGCCCACTTTTGGTGTAGGTCAAGATTTCTGGAAACCCCCGAAATCTGAGTTAGCCCGCTTGTCCTTAAAAGCGACCAATTACAAAGTTCATCAGCTGTAAAACTAAGTTTGGCGACCACACACTTTCATTTATACATGTCTACGTGATGGGAAAGAGGACGGGGGTTTACAAGGATAAATATTCAGGCCAAATATTTTGCTGGGAAATAATTATGGTTAAAATGAGAAGTGGTGGAACGGAGATGAAGCATCACACACATACAGGCACGCGTGCACGCACACACACCACACGAATACACACACACGCACGCACAAACAAACACACACACATACACACACACTCTCTCTTTTTTCTTTCTTTGTCTCATTCTCTCTCTTTCACACACGCACACAAACAAACAAACACACACACACATACACACACACACTCACTTTTACTCACATCTCTCTCTCTCTCTCTCTCTCTCTCTCTCTCTCTCTCTATCTCTGTCTCTCTGTCTCTGGTTGTCATACACACACTCACACACATTCACATACACAAAGACACACACACACACACACACACACA